ACACAGACTTTTAAATTACTGCATTTTAATTATTACACTATTTGTTTATTGTTTGTGTGTGTGTGTGTGCGTGTGCATTTACGAATGTACCATGACGCACATGATGTGGGGTAGAGATAACCTGCAGGACCTGGGTCTCCTGTTGCACCACTGGGATCAGTCAGGTCATCAGATTTGGCAGGAAGTTCCTTTACCACTGAGCTAACTCACTGGCCCTCAACATGATTTGTTTCTTCAAAAGAAACCATTACCAAAAATTTTAAATTATACTTATGTTTTCGAGAGCGCACGTGTGTGTGTGTGTGTGTGTGTGTGTGTGTGTGTGTGTGTGTGTGTGTATTGGTGCATGCCACAGTCTTTGTGTGGTGGTCAGATGACAACTTTCAGGCGTCAGGAAAAGACATTTTCTGTGTCACCTGGGACTCCCCCGAAACTCCCCACTCTCCAGTTCCTGGATCCCTTTCTTCTTCACTCTGTTGCAAATGTCACCCCTTACAACCTTTGTACAGTGCTAGGGACACAGTTAAATACATATTCCTTCAATGAGTGAATTATTCAAAACAAACCACTTAACTATGTTTTACTTCAAAAACAGTTTTAAAGCCAGCAAGGTGGCTTGGTGGGTGAGGGTGACTGCTGTAAAGCCCAAAGACTTGAGTTCTAGTCCCAGCACCCATATGAAGGAAGCGGAAGCTCAGGATAACTGAGTCTTGAAAATGGTCTTCTGACCCCACCCCCATGCTGAAACACAGTATGGATAATTTTTAACCTTTTACAAAAGCATGTCTAGGCTTCCTTTGTATTTTGTGAAATGAAATATCTTTTCTAATACCCATCTTCCCCTGAATTTTAATTCCCAAGAGAAACTCCCTGCCTTCCAGCTGGGCTGGAAGCACGACCTTGCAGTGCTGTTACTGGACTCCCCGGCAGGAGACGTGGCTCAGCTGGTAGCGTGCTTTCCTAGCAACATGAAGCTCTGGGGTTGAGTCTCAGCACTGCGGAAACTGGGTGTGGGTGCATGCATGCAACCCAGGGCCTAGTAGGCAGAAGCCGTGAGATCCAGGGCTCAAGATCATTCTTGGCTCTGCAGAGAGTTCAAGGACAGCCTGGGCTGTCTGACATCCTGTCATGAAACAAAACAAACATGTCCTACACTTTTCTCCTCTCTTACTTGCCTCTTGCTCCTGAATTTCACACGGATCATCATTGTGATGAGAACCATTGTGAGCGTTCTCAGTGGGAAGCTGGTGGAACAGGCCTAACTCAGCCTCCCTAGGAGGTCACATAAAATCCTGTTGGAGATGGAGAAGGAGGTAAGGGAGCACCTCTTGCCTTGTCACTCATCTGCTTCCACCCAACCCCACACCTTCTCTAGAAAGCCTAGGCCTGTTCTTCCCTTCCAGTCTGAAATCCTCTTTGTCCTTTAAAAACTGCAGCATGTTGTGGTCTTTCATACTGGCGGTCTTCTGTCATTTCCAAATCTACCTGTGCAAGCACTCCACAGAGTGAGTCAATGTGTCTGATGTCAAAGGTCACAACAGCCACAGTAGCTGTGAACCAAAGCTCTTCGCAGTCCTTTGAATAGCTTCTTTCCACTTTGTACCCAATCATATTGTATTTTAATTTATAGCATTCTACAGTTTTTTTTTTTTTTTGCATCTCTGCAGTTTGCTTTTTTCTTTCTTTACTAATAGCATGCCTTGATGATCTTTCTCTGCATATATACATTGGCTTTATTCTTTATAACTGCTGTGCTGTATTCCTGAACGTAGATGCGTAAGGGAAAATGTAGCATTTCTTACTATTGGCTGTTAAGGTGTTTTCAAAGATGACACTACCTCAACTCTGCCATGAACATCCTCACACACACATATACATGTCTGCTTCAGTGCGATATAGAACAAGAAATGGAGCACTAGCTAGCTTAGAGGTAAAGGTGTTTGCTGTCAAGCCCGAGAATTTGAGTTTGGGCCTCAGGACCCACATAGTGGAAGGAGAGAAACAACTCCACAGAGTTGCCCTCTGACCTCCACGCCCATGCCACTCACACACAAATAAACATAACAGTGTCAGGAGAAGAAACGAACTGCTACTTTATAGCATGTGCATATTATATCTTTAATAGCCACGCTCAGGTAAAGGGAGATGGCTTCTCGGGTAAAAGCTCTTGCCATGCCAGTATGAGGACCTCAGTTCAAATCCCCGAACCCACATCGAAGTCTGGTGAGTAGGAAGAGTATCTGCAATCCCAGAAGCCCTTCAGAGAAATGGGAGGCACAGTCAGAATTGCCAGACCACCAAGGACTAGTTTGCCTGGCCTATGCAGGCAAAGAGAGCCAGGCACGGTGGCACACACCTGTAACACCAGCACTCAGGGAGGCAGTAGCAGGTGGATCTCTGTGAGTTTGAGGCCAGCCTGGTCTATAGACTGAGTTCCAGGACAGCCAAGGCTACACAGAGAAACCCTGTCTCAAAACAAAACAAAAGAGACCCTTTCTCAAACTAGGTCTGGACTGACCCCTGGAATTGTCCTCTGACCTCTGATCTTTATATGGGCACTGTGGCACATGCATGCCCATTCACACACTCAAATGTAAACACACACACACACACTTGTGAAAGTAATAAAATTTAAAAGACACCGCCTAACTGCCATCCATATTGTCTCTATCAACACACACACACACACACACACACACCTGTAGGCATAGATCCTGATTTCCCAGGATCATAAGTGATAACACATTTTTCCTGCATTGCCTACATTTTTATTTTAGCATCTCCCAGGCCTGTGCTGAAATGCTCACTGAGAATGAGACCCTGACTTCCTCAAACGTGTGCTGCTCTCTCTGCCTGGATTCGTTTTAAGAACCTATGATCAGTGAAGGCTGTCTGTCTGATCCCTTGCCATGTGTCTTTTGCTCATCTCTACAAACACACACTTTTCAAAGGCACTTTCCAAGACTGCAACTAACTTTGAGGTTATTCCTTACGAACAAAACACATTCTTAAGAGAATTCAGTTTTTGCACGGCCCCTCCGTGGGTATTGATATCTTCCATTTAAAGCTGCCTGCTTTCCTGGCAGGAGGTAAAGAAAACGGGGCTTGGCTGTCTCAGGCTATCATCAGTAGAGGGGTCCCGCCTGCTGTGGCAGAGCACACTATAGGCACCCCACAGCCCTGACATCAAGGCAGAAGATGGAATAGGGTCAGAGTCTTTCTGGATCCACGGAGGTAAGTAAGTTCTCTTTATGGACTTCTGAAATAGCAGAAACTGTAAATCACCTCTAAAGGCTAAGAATAAGTAGAATGACTTATTGAGAATGACTGTTAGGGTGGGGCAAATGGAGGAGAGCAAGAGTATTTTAGGAGGGAATTTGAAGGCAGGAAAGAGATTTTGCTGGTGTGAATTATCTTTATTAAGATACAATTTCCTACAGAGGGATTCCAATATTTTAGTTCACTTCGATATTTTGGAATTCAAAGGCACAGTGGGCTGGTCCTGGAGCTCTGAGCGTTTACTTTTGAGAGTTCCCTGTGGTGACGGACAACGTTCAATCTACTAGACTGAGCCATCTGGGGATTGTGCATGGCTTTATTTGTTTTGGGACGACATAAGCGAAGACATTTTGCTCTGAATAAGGTTTCCTTTCCCTCTCTGAACAGTTTTAAGTAGCGATTGCAGCCTAGCGAGGAGGCAACTGTATTCAACATAAACTCACAACTAACCAAGAGCGCTGTCAGGCACAGGACTGACTGCCTGGGGCTCCTGGGGTGTGTGGTCTCTTGATGTGAATTCCCCTGAAGCTAGGATTGCCAGCCCACCCGGGGAACTGCTTTCCAGTTTGGGCTGCCAAGCCTGATTCCCACTGAGTCTCCCCAGGAGCAGGGAATCCACACTTCAGTTTTCAGCCTTTATCCCCAGTCCCTTTTGCTGTCACCCAAGAGGACTATGGGATGCTTGCTGCAATGGCCAGGGCTAAATTAGGCCCACCAGTGGCCCATTTCACTCTCAGGCACAATGAGTAATGCTTAGCTCCTGGACAAGGAGGCTCAATTGTCCTTGGGTGGGTGAATGGGTGGGGGTTTCGATGCCCCTTTGGCCATTGTTGAGAAGAACAAAGAGGGCAGGAGCTGAGGGCGCCCCCATGAGGAAAGGCGTGGAAAGACACCCTGAGCAGCGATCCGTGGGCTACGGGGCTGGGACTCGGTGCACCTGGATGGCGCTCTGGGGAGGCAGGGCTGATTCGTCCCCGCGGCAGCCTTGCAGCCTTTTCCTGACTTGACTATGCTTTCTCTCTTCTTGATATTATTAATATTATTGTTGCTATTTTCCCGCGCAAATTAGGCAGCTGGGACCGGGAGGGCAAGCCGCTCAGGGGCCGCCATTTGGCGGTGGAAGCACCGAGCGCCCCGGAAAGGGAACCCGAGGGGAGTGCTCGGCCCCGCGCCCTCCTCCGCGGCGGCGCCCGCAGCATCCCGGCTCCTCGCCCGCGCCTCCCAGGCGCCTCCGCGTCCTCCTCCATTGTCAGCCCGCGCCCAGCTCCGCACCCCGGAGGCCCCGGTCGCGCGCCCTCGGCCCTAGCGAGCCTGAGTCCCCGCCCGATCCCTTCGGCGCCCGGGTGACTCCCTCCTCCCTCCCCTACTCCCGGAGCTCCGCATCCTCGAAGCCCAGGGCTCCCGGCACCTCCAGCCCGGCCGCCGGACCCCGCATTTCTGCATCCTCCCTGCCTGGCCCAGGGTTCCCCGGCCCCTCGCCAGCTGCGGGAATCGCGCAGCGCCTTTAGCAACCCCCCTTTTATCTCCCGAGGAAGCAAGTTGGGTAGATCGATTTATTAATTTTTGTGGCAGAGGTGGGTCGGTGACCGGGGTGCGCCCGCAGGGCTGCGGGGGGAGGCGCCGTGGCTCCCTTCGGCCCCGGCACTGCCCGGGCAGAGGGTTTTGTTTCCAGACCCCCGGCGCCCCCCGAAACAATGATGCCACGGGCATGGCGGGCTCACCTGGTGCTGCGCCGCGGGCTCCGGGCGCCCGGTGGCCTAGTGCGCGCCAATCCCGGCCGCAGGTCCGGCCCGCGTGCCGCCGGTGCCGGACAGGACGCTGCCTTTCTTGGGGTTGTATCTGTGCGTGTCAATGGCGGCAAGCGGCAGTTCTCCGGGCCGCGGATAGTAGCGGGGGGAGGAGGAGGAGGGAGAAGGGATTGCTCCTTCTCCACATAACCACCTCTAGGAGGAGTCGCTCAGCCTCATCCCCCGCCAGCCCAGGCTCCGCGACGGGTCCGGGGGCTTTCGTGGGGCTTGATGAGCTATTGTCCTTCTGCAGTGGAACCACCCGGCCTGCGCCTCGCGGAGCCGTTGGCTGCGAGGACTCCCCTTCCCTAGAGCCCTGCACGGAGGCCTTGCGGTCGCCAGCCACGGGCTCCCGTTAGCTCGACCCACCTTTGCTGGGAGAAAGAGGTGTGGGCATCCATCCGCCGGCTATGGGGTGAGAGGGGAACGCAGAGAGGCCACCTTGAATGCAGCCCTGACCTGAAAATATTACAAAACACATTACCGTGTCGCGCACAGCGGCCACAGGAACCGAGAATTTATACTTATGCCTGTCTGCTGTTCATAAACGAAGACGAGAATCTGCCGCCGTGTGGTGGTGGAGGCACAGATGTGTGTCTTGGTGGATGAAGACCTGCCGCCCTGGCATCCTTTTAAAATTAGGTTGCCTTAGTTTGCTGTCTCCCAACGGGCATTGGGGTTGGCACAAAGACAGTGTCTGAAGGAGCAGTTTTTATTAATTTCCAGAAAATTCATTGTGATGGCCGAGTGTTGGGACAATATCAGGTGACACTGGGCGTGTGTAGTTGCTTGGTTCTTGGCAAAAACCGAGCATGTCTTTTATACTCTGACGCTTGCCGAGGGCACGTGGCTCCAGAGCCAGTCGCCATAAGCATGGACCAGCCATGTTTCCTCAGATTTCTCCCGGAGCAGTCCGAGGAGTCTGAGAGGAAACCTTTTGATCTCTACAAAGACACGAGAAGCCGAAACCTTCAGCACTGACCAGATGATGCTATCATTCCTGGGACACTCTCCCTGTGTACTTGCTACCACAAACTATACTTGCATCTGTGTACGCAGTGGGGAACTCTGGAGTGACCAAAGGCCTGTGATTGCCTGTGGGAGAAGCTAACCACCCACCACCTAGATCAGCGCCATTTCATTGAGCCGGCAGCTGGCACTTACAGATAGTGCATGCCTTTGAGGACGTGCGTTTCAAGCTCTGTTCTCCCCCAAACCATGCATATTTCATTCTGCTGTAAACATATCTCCTGTGGCGGGGACTCCACTGCCAGGGCCTGCGGCAGAGTCGAACAGTACCCGAGTGGGGAGTGAGGACTGAAATAATTAAAGCAAGTCACACTACACTCCTGATCAGCTCGAGAGGGCTGTCAGTAAGACTGCAGCCGCGAGTTTATGCCACAGTTCCTTCTTATAGGCAAAGCAAAAACAGGTCACATCAATACAAGAAAGAAGTTCATGCAACTGCCAAATTTGCTTTCTTAAACTACTTCCCTGTAGCAGATATGGTCCAAGATCACACAAACAAGTTTTAAGGAACTTAGCAAAATATCCTCTTATCTTTGTCTCAAGGCTGGGGTGAAAACATGTTTTTCCGCTGAATACAAAGCGGCTTGACAAACAAACAGCTCTCCACACCCCATAGTCTGAAAGAGAGGAAAGCCTTAATTCTCCTGAATGCTTTCAAGGATGACCCTCCTGTCTTTTGTTTTGGAAATCTTTGCCAGGCCAGAAACCTAGACAGGACACAGTCCTCTTTCCAGAGACCTGTATTTAAAGGATTTTAAAGGACCAACTGTAGTGTAGTGGCATTTCTACACATTCCTAGAGGGAGGGCCCATCTTTCTTACACACACACACACACACACACACACACACACACACACACATTTAAGGCCAGCATTCAAGACCATTCAGCATCTTCTAGAAGAACTTGACAGTCACTCCTGGCTCCCAATCAGCCAGGCTCACAGAAATTTAATGAATTATTCATTGGCATATAATAATTACATTCTCTGTAATTTCTACTAAAAATCGTATATGTGGCTAGGCATGGTGGCACACGCCTTTAATCCTAGCACTCAGGAGGTACAGGCAAATGGACCTCTATGAGTTCAAGGTCAGTCTAGACTGTTTCATCTTATGGAGACCATGTTTTTGTTGTTTTAATAAAGCCACTTCAATGTGATTTTCATTTCATTTAATTTCAATTTTTCCTCTTCTTCCTTCTTTCCTTTTTGTACTTGAGACAAAGACTATGCAGCCCTGGCTGCTTTGGAAATTGATAAGTAGACCAAGCTGGCTTCAAGCTGATAGGGATTTGCCTTTCTCTGTCTCCTGAGTTCTGGGATTAAAGTTTGTGCCGTTTCGCCTGACTTACTCTTTTCTCTTTCCTTTCTTTTGGTATAGTCTCAGGGTGGCCTTGTACTTGCTATGTAGCCAGGGAAGACCTTGAACCCTTGATCCTTCTGCCCCCAAATCAGGGGTTTCAGGCTTGATTTGTATGAATCCTCTGCAACATGCTCATCTAGTGTTTGATTCTGTACTATCCAGGGAAAGGATGCAACTGAGAAGTGTTACTCAAGAGCCTCTGTAGCTGCATTTTGCTACTTTGTGGGTTCTTCCTTTTCCCTTCCTTTATTCTCTCCCAGTTTTACCCCCTAAAACTAGATAGGAAAGAAACAAGGATAGAGAGGAAAGGAAAGAGATTCCTAAATAAAGTCAGGAGTCAGAAAGGTAACAATGTTGTTAGACTACTTCTTGCTTATTAGGGGCGTTGAGTTCCTTGGGTCAAGTTTGATCTTCACCATCAGGATTCCTAATTTCTTCTTTGCACATGACTGCTTAACAAACTGACACTAACAACAACCCAGCACACTGCCTCTCAGTGTATACCCCCTGAAAAGTCCCAAGTGTCACACAATTGCAGAAACTGTCTGCAGCTGGCAAAACAACGCCCTTGCCCAAGCACAAGGCAAATCATAGCCAGTTGCTACAATGCAGTTCCATATCCCTACACCTGGGATTAAAATGAAAACACATTCTTATAATCTTTCTGTATTTTTAAAAGAAACCAAAATTCCCAAATTCTCACAGCCTCCCATTTCATTCTGGCAGTTTCTTCAAATACAGACGCTCCTCCCATTTAAGATGGGGTTACATTCCTGTAAGCCCAGTATAAGCTGAGTAAGAACTACAGGCAGTGCACTTGACCTGCCAAGCACAGTAGGATTGTGACATATGGGTAATCTTTCCTGCCCTGCTCACCTGGCTGACTGGTAGTGATGGTGCCCCACCCCTCCCAGCATCCCAAGAGACGTGCACCACTGCACATCACTAGTACAGAAGAGGAAATTCAAAACTCCAGGAATGACTTCTACTGAATGCTATTGCGCTCAGGCTATGGCAAAACTGAGAAATTATAAGTTGGAGGCCAGCTGTAAATGATAAAGTCAGTCAGAATCAAGGCAGGGGTCATCAACTCACAATACTTTGTGTTTTGCAGCAGAATCAAAACTTCATCAATCAAAACTTGGGGAGATGCAATGGTTCAGCCAAGGCCACCTAGGAAACTATTGGCAAAAGCTTTGATAGCATTTGGAGGTACCTAGCCAATACAATCTTTACCAGCTCCAAAATTTCCAGATCTACAACTTCTAATGTGCAGGTGGAGTTCAGTGGCTCAGATTTTATCAGGGGCTTTTAACATATGATCGGAAATCTACTGAGCTGGAGGTATGCACTCTTACTGTTTATAGAGGGTTCCTGCCAATGGAAACATTCTCTCTAAAGGCAGAGGTGGGGGGAGCCTGGGGAGGGAGCTCATCAGACTCATCAGGTAAACAAACTGGAAGTGTCTGGGAAAGCTGAAACTTCCAAGATTCAGCAAGACTTCTCCCCAAGGTTATAGAAACAGTGAACAACTTTTGGGGAGAGGACACTGACCAGCTGCGTTGCAGATATTTCTGTGACCTGTTGTTCTGCCTGCAAGCAGAGCACAGAGTTCCAGGGTGGCAGCCTTTGTGAGCCTTCACTGGTGTGGAGCAGGCTTTTTGGTGATATAGGTGCTTTTGAGTCACCCCTAATCCTATAAGTAACTCATCACTCATACTCTTGTTAGAGACCCTAACAAAAACTCATTGGTTCGCCAAGTTGGACTTTGGTGCAATTGTTATTTTGATCTGTGGTGGTTTCCCTTCTTGGGATGAATAGTTCTCTCTCTCTTCTCTCTCTCTTTCTCTGTTGTTTCTCCCCAGGAAAAATCTTTCACACACACACACACACACACAGTCACACACACAGTCACACACAGTGTATAACTAGGGTATATTTAAAATAGTCAATAGGCAGGTATGTTGCCCAATGGTAGACTGCTTGCTTATCTTGCACAAGGCCCTGGGTTCTCTCCCCTCTCAACCCAGTGCTACAAAACCACAAGACAGTTGTTGACAGGACTGTAAATTTGATTTGCATGTACAGGGAAGGCTAGCGTAGGGAGTCTTTGTCAAGGCAGGTGAGGAGTACTAAGTGCTAGCGAGAGCACATACTCGCCAGCAATCTATTGGCTGTCCTGGGCTAAGTGCTACACCCCTGCTAATGCACTTGATCCTTACCGCAGTGCCGTGCTCTCCTTTTCATGGTGGGGAAACTAAAGCAAAGAGCAGGTGAGAGTCTCTGATTCACACCCAGTCACCACCTTAATTGGATGGCAGGGAAGTACATTGGCTTTAAGCGAAGGAAGTTTTCGCACCTGATCCTTTGAGTAAAAGCCGCTTCGGCCCCTCCCAAGCTATATCCTCAAGGAGCAGGCAGCTGGCCTAATGGTAGGAGGTGGTTGATGACAGTTTTCACTGGGAACATTTTCTTAACCCTTGACCTGTGTGTGTATAATGTGATGAATTCATGTATTGATTCTGAGTTGATGGTATTAGCGGTTGGGGTGTGTAGGGTAAAAGAGCCAAGGGAAAAACACCCTGCCCGGGGCTTTACCTCAGGCTCTAAGACTTGGAGTTGTCTGGGAGCAGAGGCAGCTTTTCCTGCCATGTACAGACACTCCCCTTGTAGACCCCCACCCCTGGAGACCTCTAGCCACCAGGCCTCATCCCCAGACTGCCGTGATGGCCAGGCCTGAGCCCTTGAGGCATGTGAGTGGTCAGCCCCAGCCCCCAGGAGTTCCAACAGCAAGGTCCAGCCTCCAGATTTCCCTGAAGCTGGACAGTCCTAGTCCCACACCCTGGGGAGCGGCCAGGCCCCACCTAGTGCAAAGTGCTTACCATGGCTGCTTTGATGGCCAGGGCTCAAACGCTAAAATGCAATAGCTTAAGTAAGTTCTGAGGGTCTAAGAAAATGTCTGAGGTTGAGAGAGCTGCTGTTTTAAGGTACGCAAATGCAAGTTGTAAAGGTATAAGGCAGAAAACTGTTTCTGATTTCTTTTCTCTCTATTTTGAAAAAAATAGAAAACAATTCCACCAATCCCTGAGCCTGCCCCAAGATCAGGCCACATAATCCCTCCAATCCTAGGCCACCTTGGAAAGCCCCACCGCTGCCCCAAGAGACGCTATATAAATCCTGTCTTCTGCTCAGTTCTCTGCTGCTTCTCACCCAAA